CCCAACTGACAGATCATATCTAGAACTGGCGATTGAACGGTGACCTCTAACCCTGCTGGACTGGGGTTGTCCAGGATTGATGCTGGGGACCTCTGGTTTAATTGATGCCAAGAAAGTTCCAATCTGCCATCATCGCAGGCTGTCTGCCTCTTGTGGGGTGATGAAGGGCTGTTGACTACGATGTTCCACATCACACTGCTATGAGACGCTGTTTGTTTTAAACAACTACGCATTTCGGTCTATGCGTGTATCGGGTGGGTGTTGGGGTAGTGATATTCGTGGGACATAATCGTTCATATGGTTCCCAGAAACGACAGTTGTTTTGTCGGGCTGCTGTATCTGTGGTAATGGAAAGACAAAGGCTTTCTTTCTCTGCGTTGGCCAGCAGAATGCACAGCCCCAGGACGGAGACAGAATATCGGTCCCATCGAACCCCTGAGCTCTGACACTAATTACATGTTTGGGCAGTGAAGGAAACAGTTAAAGACGGGTGACAGGTTTAATGACTGGTTTCACAGGGAGCCTCTCTCCCTTTTTCTGTATCGCTGTTCTGAAAGTTACGGGCGAGTCCGAGTAATTTAGCGAGATGCGTGTACTTGTACACAAGGCCCTCAAGGAAGCCCGACGAGAAGTTATGAAGCCTGTTGCTCAGGGGGGTCCAGCCTTTCATGTCCTGCTGAATGTAAACAGCCAACTGTGTGAAGGAGAAACTTCTTTTTAATTCCAATCACGAATCTTCCACACAAGTCTGAGAGGCCTTTTATCTGAAGTCCTTTTTATCAAACTCATAAAGTCATATCGCTTTCATGCTATATAACACATTTAGTGTGCTGTGTGATATAAAACCCTGTAGGGTTTTATGATATACAGTTTTATATCACATGTGTCATACAGCTTGAAAGTAATTGTACTATTTAGAAAATAACTGGACCATACAACAGTAAATACTGTACACTATGTAGAAACGTTTGCAAAATAAGTGTGCTACAGTATATAATCATTGACGTATTCTGTAGGCTATAGCAGAGTGCAAACTCAATGTAGCTGAATGTTATATCAAACTATAACAAACCACATAGTCTACATTGACTTCGGGTGGATCACTCTTATACAAGCAGTGTTTATGCGTGGCCATTAAAGATGACATTTTCAAAATATTTCACTGCTGGCGTTGGAAGTTATGCCAGAGGCTTTGAACAGGCCACCAATCCATTCAGGACTTTCAGGATGTTAAACCCGTGTCTGAAATTTCAACATTGCAGAAGTTGGAACTATATTTTTTCCCATCCAGACCTGCCAGTACACGTCTCATTATTTTTGATTATTTGTGTTACTTGTAAAAACACAGTCTCTTTCTAATAATTCCAGTTAATCACGGTTTCACCTGATTGTTAAGTGATGAAGAATTCAGGCGACATCTGTATTGCCCGTTTCAGGGATTAACGATGCATCTCTTTGCCTGTGTTTGTTCTGTGTCTGCAGGAGCTGAGTGTTTTCTACATCAGGCGTGGGGGAGCTCCAGCCTGCTGTCTCTGACATCGGCCACCTTTTCCTCAAAACCCTCTCGGTATGTACCTTGATTCGCTGTGCACTGCGCCCATAACTGTTCAATGTATTGCATTACAGTGGTAACATTTTGTAATGCTAATTAAAAGTGATTGTCATGTTGATTGTAGTCGCCTTAATAAATTGATTTTCTTATTCAATCATGTCTTTTAGTGGTGTTTCAGGCAGGACTGAATAGTCCTGCCCCCACTGGCAGTGTTTGATAGGGTTGCGTAGCTGCAGCTGTGATTTTTATTTTATACTTCTGGACCTCAGGGCTGCATTGTGTTCCATAGTGTCCTGCCCAAAACTTTGTGGGCACCTTTTACGATCGACTTTCTAAATACAGGGTAAACAAAGGCTGACAGCTGGCAGGTTTGATCTGGCCCGCCAACAACGAGCTGGGCTCTGCTCCCTCCCAGTTCCAAAGGAGAAAACCTGGAGTGTTGCAGGCAAGATCTCGAGTCAGCCTGCGGTTCTCACACTTAATTAGCAAGACAAACTGAGGGCCCCCTTGTCAGCTGAGTTGGAGTCAGCCTGCCTCTGCCGGGTTTAAGACCTGGGTCTTGACCATCATTCCAGATACAGTAGAAGACTGGATACAAATCTGGTTTCAGAACTACGTTTTGCAACTTCAAAGGCAGTTGCAAATTGGACAGTGCTGTTGCCAGCTCCAGAGATATACCCAGTCTAACTTGACCTACTGCAGTAAACTGGACAGATATCTCAAGGTCTCTTTCAGAACTACAGGAATTTCTGTTGACTACAATCACCAGTGTGTGACCAGTCTCTTTAACAACTTCAGGCCAATCTACTTTAACTTCACCCTCAGTCAAAAAATAAATAACATCATATATATCATATAAATCATATATATTCCATAACTGCCAGAACCCCAGCGGACCTAGAAGCTGTGATCAGCTCTGAACCAGAAACAGGAACATGCTCCAGCACGTTCTTTCAGTCACTGCCCACATATCTGCAGAATGAAATTACTGGGGTTTTATAGTGATTTCCTGTGTTAACTGGGGGATTTTGGCAGTACTGTACCTCCTCTTCCACACTCAACAATATAATATGGTTAAATATTAGAATTCTATTGATCCTATTGCTGTTGTAGACGGTGATTTGAAGTGACAGGGTGAGTACACATTAATCATCTCAAGCATTTGTAGAAACTTCAGAATCTTACAACATATTTACTTTACCATACAGTACATTTTCCAAATGCTTCAGTAGAACGGTTTGGAAAAAAAAACTAGAATTGTTAATTTAAGCATTTGGGGAATGGTTGTAAGGTAGATGCAACTAGGTACAAATCAGTACAAGAATTTGTGGCGAGAACTGTCTTAGCATCTCACGTGGTACAGTACGTGATAAATACATATAAATTGCATTATTGCTTTTAAGTCATTCCTTATGGCTTATTGTGCTCATGCTGAAATAATACCACTTATTTCAGTTCAGTTGCTTTTTCAGTAAAACATCACTGGATTTTATTAAACCATGTGCTTTTAGTGTTCATCTCTCATTTTGAAAGCATTCTTTTGACAAATTAACCACAAAGCCTTAAAACCAGCAGCTCCTAAATGAGAGAAACAGGTTGTTTATTACACTGCTGTGACTAAACGTCTCTTCCAGAATGCAAGTTTAGTTTGAGCAGAGTCAGAGTTGGCAGCTGCAAGATGTTATTTCTACAACATAAAATTTGAAAAGACAAAAATAATAAACCACAACAGTGCCCATGAATTAAAAAAAATCCTACCAAAGACAAACAACTTGACATCCCTAAAACATGAGAGTATTCCCACAGCTTTTGTATCCTTTATGCTGAAGCAATACAGTACATGTGACAAACCCACTCAAAATATCTTATGTTACAACACGAGTAACTACTGGCTGGAGCAGTTAGCTGTCATGGTTTGAAGAGAAATGTTATTTCAGTGAAAAACTGAGAATAAAAAATGTGCATCAACCAGCACTTCAGCTTCCACAATTTGTAGTTGAGGAACTGCAGTTTCCTTTAGCTGCACATATGCACGCACCCATACTACAGATCTCTCTAATCTCAAATCTTTATCTAAAGTCATGCGATGACGCTAAGCGTTTGGCACAGAGGTGCAACACTGTATGTGTCATGTTAGCTCTTTAGGGTTTGGTACAGTTATTTATGTACAGTGTTTATGTTTGAGCCAGTGCAATCAAATGTTAGACTTGGAGTAAAGTTATTTTTAAGCAAATGTTGAAACAAGTTTAACAAACAAAGAGTGAACAATAACGTGTTCTCCGAAACGCATTTTCTTGTTTTAGCTCATTGGTTTCAATTTGTTTCTTTCCAGTGTAGGGGGTGTCCCTCGCTATTGGTCCTAAAAAGCCACAGTCCTGATGGTTTTATAGGGAACTCAACATCCTCAAATGCTAAAGACTCAGTGCTGGAATTAAAACCAAACAGGGCAATACTGGAATTAGTGTGGCCTTCCAGGACCAGGAGTGACGATCACTGATGTTGGCGATCAATATTGAATGTATAAAAATTAATATCTGTTGTAATCAAATACCATTTTAGTGTACTGTGGGTGTCCTTTCCAGCATTTAGAATTCAGAGACCTATGAAATACTATTATAACACAACCTCCTTTTAAAGTTAATTGTTGTGTTTAAAATGATATTAACTCCTGCCTTTGTTTCCACACTCTGATTGAAGGGCTGAGAGATCTTATCAGTTGAAAGGACTGTAAATTAATAATCTGTGTATTATCTGCATTAGTACTAAAATTAAAGCTACCTCAAATAATCTATATTAGTTTTAATGCATCACAACTCTATTGTTGTTTTCAAAAGGTAAAGATAACAGTATGTTGACTAATTAAGAGCTCATATGTGTTGGATTAGGTAAAAATAGATGTATATTTAGTTTAAAAGGCAAATGATTGTGTGTACAGTGGAAATCTGAACATAAAATATACCAGGCTTATCTAAATATACTGTATGCATGTGTCAAACCCAGAACCTTTAGGACATGAATTCAGAATTTGTCCTTGAAGGTTTTCACCTTAATTTGTGCACCTTAACATATTTAAGATTTTTCTTAGATAAGGTTAAGGTTTTAGATCAGGTGTGAGACACTCATTTTCTGAAAGGGCTGCAGAATCCTCCACTTTTTCTTCCAAATTTGGTCTCGTTTGGTCTCATTAATTGATGTGATAATTAAGAAATTGCTTCCCTGTATCTGCAGTATACAAAGAACTGGGGAAATGGGGTTAAACTGATTAAGTTAAACTACTAATTAGCTCAATTAGCTAAGAGCATGGGAGGAATGAAACACGACAGCCTCTACGGCTCTCCAAGACAAGAGCAGTTTATGAATGAATTCAGATCACAAAGACTTACCCATATAGCAAAGGGTTAAAACTACAGTTTTGTCAGATGAGCTTGATCCACGTTACAGTTGCAATAAAGCTGCATCAGGTCTGGCTTGACGTATTCACTTGTTCCACTTAAATAATTACCCGTGTTCCATCTGCCGACTCTGGTTTTAGACACAATACCTAAGAAATGCTCAGAGGCCGGGATAGACAAATGTTGCCCTTTGACTCAAATAATGCGATAAAGTAAGAGAGCTACAATGAGGATGCAGTCCTGGTAGCCACGGAAAGAGACATAGCTCACCAATAGCATTGACAGTTTTGCCTGAAAGTGAACAAATAAAATCTAAAATATTAATCATCACAAAGATTACAACTGCCTGTACTTTTGGCTAGGAGTACTGTTGAGGCTAAAATAAAGGGGGTAAATACTAAATAAAGTACCTACTGTTATTACTGCCACTGCTGCTCTTACTGTGACTAATACTACTCATTAATAGCATCAGGAGTCACAAGAGACATCTTAGCCAATTCTAATACAGAGGAGCATACTGGAAAACTAATAATCAATAAGGTACTTGACAGTTGACTATTCAAGATATCTCCCAAGACCAACAAAGAAAAATGTCTCATTTGTGATCTTGGTTCCAGTTTTAGTCAAATACATATAATATAAGTGTATCTTTACTTTCAGACTGACAGAAAGGTGTGGATTATAATGATCAACCCAGTCTTCCAAATCGGGGATGAGTGTCACCAACTGACTACGTTCTCTAGCTGCTTTCCTGCTCTGGTCTCAATTACTTAAACTGCAATATAGTATCTGTAAAAACTACAGGACTTGCCTCTCCCTGATATAAAGCCATCAGGTCCTCAGGGAATACAGAGACTGAATAACCTGCAATTAATCTATTGTAAGAACCTACAATTAAAGGCAGTTGGTCTAGTTCAGCTAATTATTTCACTTGGGTAGCTAAACCCACAAGTGGATTAAAAACCAGATGACACTGCATCCATAAGACTGGAACTGTGCACTGCTGCTGTAAGTGAACAGCACTTGGTGAGATAACTGCTTCTTTAGGTCAGGCCATCCTAATTCAAGGCCACTGGCATTAATTTTAATTCAGACTGCCAAAGTGCATTTTATTTAACTATTGGAGAAGTGAAATTCCCCTTAATATTCATACAAGATAGAATTTGGAGGCTATATTCAGAAAATACTAACACAGGAGGCGCTTCTGTTATTTAAGGTGAACAAAACTGGCAAATGTTCCAATGCTTTCATGTTTATAAAAACGTTTTTATATGCTGCGCCAGCCAAAAATGTGGAGGCATAATAAAGAAAGGATCATTCTTTTTCCCCCCAGTTTTATCCATGGATTACTAGTGTCTTTACACCCAAGAATAGATAGCAAGGTGAAAGAAGTGGTTTCCCCAGTAATGGCGACAGTGGTGACAGCCCAACATGTTCATCTTCCCATTGGAACAGCTCTCCTAGTGAACATAGTGTACTTCTGAATCTTGCACCGCTAATTCCCCTGAAAGTCCCTGAGACTGCGCCAAAGAGCAACACGCGCAGGTTCTCATGTTCTTCACCTGTTGTGGGAAAACCAAAGCGAGGGACATTGGGACAGTTCTTCACAAATTAGAGGAAGGTTTCCTTCCCCTGGGTTTCAATCCTGTCTTTCCAGCACAGTGCTCAGCCAACACCTGAACATACTGTAGGTGAAATATGTCCTTGAATAGTACACTGGTACCAGTAGGAAGTGGTCTGGGCTGACAGGCAGTCTTTGCACAAAGCCATTTTTTGCATTACACTCTGAATTCAGTCTGGCAGATTGGTCTGCTTAAGTTTGAAGACTCCAATGCATATACTCTACAACTTTATAAAAAAACTCATTTAAGTTTTATTTTATTTAAATGGGCTTCTCTGCTAAGAGGGTTTATTCATTAGCCAGAACTTCTGAAAATACCCAGTGTGAAAAAAAAGCACCTAGGGTGGTTAAAATGATTTTAAAAACAGACTTGAGATAAGTTAGAAGGTCACAGACCTGCGGTATTTATACATTACTACTCCCATTCACTGTGGGCTTCTTACCAATATTGTGAGTGTAGGAGTGTGAAACTGCAAAAAAGTAGCTGATTACTCATTCTCCGAGTCCATTTAACCATTGCTGGTGCGAATAACTACGATAAGGAGTTGCAGTCCGATATTATCTGAGCAGAAATTGCAGTTAAATACCAATTTCACGGCGTCAAGCTGTTTGATGCTCACAAGTAAGCCAGTGTCGCGCTGCGATCTTCAGAGCACTGGGAGCCGGAGCTGAAGACGGAGGAGGGACGAGCTTGCCAGACACCGCTGGAGGAAGATCAGTGCCAACTCTCAGAGAGTGTGCAAGACTAGGCCTTGCCAGATAAAGATGAAAGCACAATTATGCTTTAACATATGATACAACATAATATCCCATGGCTTGTACAATGCTAAGGAATATTTAGTGGAAGGGGGAAACATGATATAGTTTAAGTTTACCACAGTGCATTTCTATAGGATAGTAAACCAAACCTAAACTAGCTCTTCTGCAAACCCTGTTCCACTGTTTGATTATGCATCAGATTAGCACACAGGAGACTACACTCTGGGGGCACGTTCAATACCTTTGCCCCATTTTTAAGCATCTCGGGGCCTCTGTCCGTAAGCCTGTTTTCCCAGTGCCATTAGACAAAGATCCTAGCACTCATAGGTGAGCCGAATTTTGCAGAAATGCACAACCTACTTTCAAAACAACTTGTGCACAGTTCATCAACATGTGACCTGTGTGAATAAATAACTATAGCAATATAATTTTTAGATTTACTGTACTGTATGTCTGTACATACAGTAATCCTACAATTAATCTGAAGATTGCCTTTACAATCTTATTTAAACAGCCAAACCACTCTGGCTCACAAGCACACTAGTATAGAGTGAGGAACTGAACCACACTGACACACACAACTATGCAAAGGAGCAATATGTTTCTTCTTGTGTACCATATTTAATATCAGATTGTTCTAGGAAAAATTAAGTACAAAAATAAGTTTACAAGTTTAAATACCTCATTCACTTTGGGCACAATATCTTGCACAAGCAATTACAACAGTTAATGAGCCAGAGGCTTGATAATGTTCTCAATTTCCCACATCTGGATAAATGTCCCCTGAAGATTTATTCAGCTGCAAAGTCATCATGACCAAGGGACATCTGGTCCAGAGATCTTGTGGTTCTCTGTACAGCAAACTAATATAATCTTGCAAAACTTAAAAGCCAAACCTTTATGTGAACTCATTAACTCTAAAAATACCGGGGATGTATTTTAGATTTTCGTCTCAGTAGAAGTGTATTTATCAAAGAAAATGGGAATACATTCATATCATTTACAACCTAAGTTATCTCTGAGGGCCAGGTGATAAAGTTCCCATCTCTCAGTATAGACTTAAGGAGCTCCATTTTGACTCAGAAAGGAGCAAACCTTTTCTTTTCTTAAAGATATTGATGGAGCTGTTAACCTACTTTTTTCAACTTTTTGCAGCACAGAATTAGTAAGAGTGTGCCAGGGTAGTTGATGCAGTGTCACTATATTGTAATGTCTGGAACATATCAGTGAGAATATTATGAAATCATCATTAGTACAAAAATAAAAAATATACGACATGTCGTGCATAAACATTACAGCTCTAGACCGATCCCGGCCACAGTGACAATTGTATCAAGTGAAAATATTTGCAGTCAAACAGCGTCATGTTCTTACATAAGATATTCCCACAGAAAACCTTCCGAGAACCTCTGGCAGGTAAGGTACCGTACAGTACGTTCCATTAACGGAAAAGAGGAAATTGCAAAAGAAACTGTTGTTTTTGTGTGGCAAACAAAAAAAAAAGGCTCCCGTAGAGAACAAAGAATTAGCACGCTAGTTTCACAGCTCAGGTGGCTGAAGTACTGAAGCAACAAACTGTTCTTTTGAAAATGGATGAAATCCATCCATTCTCCAGGAGAACTGGTTTTCCAGGAGACAACTCAACTTTACCACCACAAAATACATAAAAAGATTATAAACACTGAAAGGTCATAAGACAGTTTTCGAAAAGACACTGCACATCATTAGTCACTGTGTGAACAACCAGTCATGTTGCCTTTTACTGCTTATCACTTTGACATCTTTATAGACTTATTGTTTTAAGGTGACATCATGAAAGCAAAAAAGAAAAAAAAAAAGGTTTTCATACAAAGAGAACATTTTTATTCCTACTGATCACTATAAAAATTAATCACACCAGTTCTGCAATACACCATTTTTCCTGTGTTATGTATTTATGTGGTTTTCAGTGTGGTTTAGCTTGTCTGGTTTTTGCATATGCAGATAATCCCATTTGCTTCACCTTCTGTCTTTTTCACTTAGATGGGCTCAATCTTAAATTTACTAACTTAAAGTCTTTTAAAAACAGAACCATATACAGGATGACTAAATAGTTATTACGTCTTCTCCAGTGGTAATTCATCCTGCAACCTATAAATATGTCTTCATACATGTGGATTGTGCTTCTTTGCTTTATCTAAACGTCTTTAAAAAAATGCAATCATTTCAAGAATAGCATCTAAAAGGAGATTATAAAAAATTACGTAAGTACATATCAGAACTTATGGTTGTCAAGAGCTTGTTAAAGAAAACATTTAGTATATAATTGCTTCTAAGTGTTTGGTATTTCAGACTTTATTGCTTGCAGCACTTCATGATGCTCTGGGGTAACAGAAGAAAGTTCTTCTAGTGAGAGAGCTTCCTATTTCTTTAACACCTTTCCTAGCTCCTAGCTTACTAACTTGGGATGTGTTTTCAGAGAGCGTTTCTACCATTGCTCCATGCTGTCTGCACTCTCATGTTCCCCAAAATGTCAGATTTCCTACAGCCCTTCTGCTGAGCGCTGTACAAGTGAGATGTTGTCAGGTGAAAAGGCTAGCTAAGCACACAAAAGAGACTTGCAGCCTAGTTTTGTCTGTCCCCAAACCAGTAGCACACCCTAAAAATATTCCAAATCACTGCAATTTGTTGCACTGCAGAAAAATGTTTTTTCCAAATCTTTTTTGTTTGTTGTTGCTGCTCTGGAATGAAACTGGAAAGTGGGATGAGATCTGAACATTTCTAGAGATTTACAAACTAAGCCTAAGCATTACAAAATCGATCAAAAGTCCAAAGAGGGGTCATTTATTTTACTTTTAAATATCTTCCAATCTGTGAACTTTCATTCCCGTTGAACCACAGTG